AGATTCAGGCATAACATTAATGGATGCTCCTAAGTCTAACATACAATCATGAAAAACAGAATTTCCAATAATGCAAGGGATAGTAAATGTCCCTGGATCTTGACACTTCTTGGGCATGGGCTGGATGAGTGCTGAAACATTCTGGCTGATGCTGACTCGCTCATCTCCTTTCAGCCTCCTCTTATTGGTGCACAACTCCTTCTGAAATTTGGCATTTCTTGGAATTTGCTGAATCGCATCCAAGAGTGGGATGTTTATCTCTACTTTCCTGAAGGTGTCAAGAATCTCTTTATCTTGAGCTTTAGTTGCTTGCTTCTTAGACTGAGTGGCTCTTTGAGGAAAAGGCAATGGGATGTGGAAATCGGAAGTATCAGTATTCTGCTTCCTTGAACTATTGTCACCTCCCTGGGATGACTCGATAGTAGATTGGTTTGGCTCCTTCAATTGGTTGCCAGACCGCAGAGAAATGGCAGAAATGGCACTAACATTGCCGGTTCCCTTTGGATTTGGAATTGTTTGGGATGAAAGGGAATTGCCACTTGCTTGTTGATTCTGACTCATTGATGTTGCAAGTTGGCCAATCTGTGTTTGCGGATTCTGGATGGAAGACTCAGTCCTCTGCTGGAACTGCAGATTATTAGTTGCCATCTGCTTCACTAAATCCTCCAAAGAAGGACCATTGCTACTGGCTTGCTGCTGCATTGGTGGCTGCTGCAACTGCTGCGGAGGTGCAGATTGTTGGAAATTCTGCCTCTATTGTGAGGGTACAAATTGTTGCCTCTGCTGGAATGGTGCACTTTGTTGATTCTGGCCCCACCTTAAATTTGGATGATTTTTCCAGCCAAGATTATATGTATTGGAGAAGGGATTGTTTTGCTGCTGCTTCTGGTGTTGTGGATTTCCAGGAAAAACTGCAGCAACAGACTGATCAACTTGGGAACCGCTGTCATGTAAGGAAGGACAAGCATCCGTGGGATGAGAAGGATCACAGCAGATGCCACACGGGTTGCTTGTCTGTTGAGCAGAAGGTTGCACTGTCTGTGTCACTGCCAACTTCCTAACCATTGATGTCAACTCATCAAGCCTGTTCTCTATTCTCTGGTTATCTGTACTTGATGCTCCTGTTGCTGCCACTATTGGATTTTTCATTGGAGAAGTTTGCACTTGGAACACTGCACTGCTGTTTGCTCTAGTGCCAAATTATTGAGCATTGGCTGCTATCTCAGCAATCAACTCTTTTGCCTCAACAGGGGTTTTATTGCTCAGGACTCCTCCACTAGCTGCATCTAAAAGATTCCTATCCATAGGCAGCAACCCTTCATAGAAGTAAACAATAAGGAGATTGTCTGGAATCTGATGATGTGGACAAGCCTTTTGAACTGCTCCCAATACTCATGCATGTTCTCCCCATTAGACTGCTTTTGCCACTGATATCTTTTCTGATTGTGGTGGCCCTGGATGAAGGGAAGAATTTCTCCAGAAATAATCTGGACATGTCATTCCAGCTGACAATGGAGGAAGGTGGCAAGTAGTACAACCAGTCCTTAGCTCCACTATCCAAAGAAAAAGGGAAGGCACGCAGCTTGATTTGCTCCTCATCCACCCCTGGTGGCTTCATAGTGCTACAGACTATATGAAATTCCTTCAGATGCTTGTGAGGATCCTCACCTGCAAGACCATGAAACTTGGGAAGCAAGTGTATTAGTCCAGACTTAAGCTTAAAAGGTACCACAAGATTAGCATAACGAATGCACAGGGGCTGCTCATTATCAACATTAAGAGCAGCCAATTGCTTAAGTGTTCTACCACCCATGATTTCAGAATCAAATAAAATACCAAAAGAATAAACACTATGTAAAGGACTCGAACAAAAAGACTCAACAGACTCAGACTCTAAGGTATGCTCAGGAACAGCTCTACTGTAAGTCAACCTACGAGCTCTACTAGCAGCATGCAATGATCTCTCTATCTCAGGGTCATATGCATATAAATCATCAACACTGGTGGTACTCCCAGTCATGCATCATAGGAAAAGGCATACAGCAGTAAAAGCACAAAACATACGACAGGACACAAAAATTACCGAAAATAGCAAACAGAAGCAAAAATAAATCTACGAAAAATAACAAATGACCTCAGAATGCTATGGGACCAACTCTTCTAAACTCTAAATGACCTTACGGACTCAAAAATCAAATAATTTTTTTTTAAAAAATAAAATAAAATAGTAAACAAACGAATTTGGCAAAACCAGAAATATCTGATACGTCCTGAAACGAAAAAGAAACACCAAAACGGGTTATTAAATGACAGAATTTAGCAAAAATAAGGGTCACCACACACCCTTTTAGGGTGTGGGTTATGCTCAGAAGGTCGAATTCCTTTGGAAATAGAACTTTCGGAGCCAATCTCTCAAACTGAAGTTTTATCGATTTCCCCAAATTTACCCAAAACTGCCCAAAACGTAAACCGTAATGCAGAAAACGCAAAAACTAAGAAAAGAAGCGTCTGCATAATCAAATTCCGATGCAAAATCAAAGGTGCAGAAATCGGAATCAGAAACACAAATGAGCGCAAACGCATAAACAAGGACATATGCGCAAAAATAAATGAACTTTTTTATTTCAAATTTTTTTTTAAAGAAAAACGAAAATTAAAGAAAAAGAAGATGATCAAGAATAAGAAAACAATTTAGACCGATGCAATTCCCCCGGCAACGGCGCCAAATTTGACACGAGCTGTCGAACTCGCGCAAATTAAAAATTATTTTTTATTAGGGTTCAGAAAATAAGTAGTAAAGTGGAAACCCTAAGTCGTCTCTCAAGGAAATTGTTTTGGTAAAAATCGCTTATGATGACAGAAAATTAAAAGGGGGTTTTGGATTTTGATTGAATAATTAAAAAGGCAGAATATAAATTTGGAATAAAAATTCGTAATTAAAAATTAACCAACCTAAGGTTAGGGTTCCATGGACGTCTTTCCTCGGATAAAAAGATATTAGAATCGTGATTGATTGTCAATTGAATCAGAATCCTTATTTCCAATTGACGACCCTTTCTAAGCGATCGCTTAGCATTTGATCAAATACGGTGCTTCTACTCATACAATCGCAGAGTATCAGCCCGTTTGATTTAAGGTCATAGGGTCAATCAATCTAATCATCAAATCTGATGATTAATCCTTTTCCATAATCGCAATCGCGAACCTCAGATTGAATATCCACGATCGCACGATATCAATCTGAGTTGGGAAGGGAAACGAAATTGATTTACAATAAAGCGCAGACCCTCAAGACTAATTCATGGAATCTGTTACCCTTAGGTTGATTAAAAAGTTCTTAGCCTCGCATGGCTAAGGTAAACATGATTAAAATAAAATAAAAAGAAGAAGAAGAAAAAGAAAAAGATGAAGAACGCGAAGAACGCTTCAGAGAAAGTGCTTTGATCCCAGAATTCAAAAATTACAGAATCAATCCAATGTTTCCTACTCTGCTGTCATATACTCCTGCCCAAAGCGGGTTAGGGTTCAGTTCTGACCGGCCCATATGTCTAAAATACGGAATAAAATAAAATAAAACTTCAGCAAAACGTGTCCGACTTGGCGCAAGAAATCGACTAGCTTCCGATCCGAATTGGGCTTCGAGCTCTGCATAAGAATTGTAGCCCTTTGGTTATCTGAAAAACCCAACAATAACAGAGTCAATCCGACAACTGTGGACCCAGATATGGCCAAAATACAGAAGTAACGTAAAGCTGAAAAATTCTGACGAAAATAAATTAAACCCAATCAAAAACTAAAAATGTAAATTAACTCAAAACATCATTATTTTATTCAAATAAATCCTAAAAATACTAATCAAGAGTAACAAATAAGTGTAATAAAATATGAGTTATCACGGCCCAAGTGCTCGATGAAGGGATTCAAATGATGAAAGAGCAAGATTTTGTGTTCACTGATGCTTCTAATGTGAAATACTACAAAGATCGGTTAATTATTCCAAAGGGGCCAATGGTAGAAGAAGTGTTAACAGAGGGCCATATGGGTAAGTACACCATTCACCCAGGTGCAACCAAGATGTATCAAGATTTGAAACGGAATTTTTGGTGGTCTGGGATGAAGAAAGACGTAGCCCAATTTGTGAATAAGTGTCTTATTTGTCAGAAACTGAAAATTGAGCATCAGAAACCTTCTGGTTTGTTACAACCATTAGATATTTTGGAGTGGAAGTGGACGAGTATATCCATGGACTTTGTTGTTGGATTACCGAGAAGCCAGGCTGGATTTGATTCCATATGGGTTGTGGTTGATAGGTTGACTAAATCCGCCTATTTCATTCCAGTCAAGACGACTTTCTCCATGGAGCAGCTAGCAAGATTATATGTTAGAGAAATTGTGAAGCTTCATGGCATTCCCGAAAGCATAATCAGTGATCGGGATTCGAAGTTTACTTCACGCTTCTGGGAAGCGTTACATGAGGCCTTTGGTACTCAAATGAGATTGAGTACTTCATACCAACCGCAGACAGATGTTCAGACAGAGAGAACCATTCAGACACTCGAGGACATGCTGAGAGCATGTGTGCTGGAGCAGGGTAATGCTTGGGACAAGTACCTGCCACTGGTTGAGTTCTCCTACAACAACAGTTATCATGCCAGTTTGGGCATGGCTCCTTATGAGGCCTTGTATGGTCGTAGGTGTAGAGCACCTAATTGTTGGACGGAGATTGGAGAAAGACAGTTATTAGGGCCAGACTTGGTCCAAGAGACAACATAGCAGATCGAGATGATCCGAGATAGGCTGAAGAAAGCCCAGAGCCGTCAGAAGAGTTATTATGATGCCAAGCACAAACCCCTTGAGTTCTCTGAAGGGGATCATGTATTCATTCGGCTCTACCAGATAATAAAGAGGGTCGGACCGGTGGTGTATCAACTTGCTCTACCTCTCAACTTGGCGAATTTACATGACGTCTTTCATGTGATTCAGCTCCGCAGATATATATTTGATGATTCACACATTTTTCAACCGGATAACATAGAGGTTAAAAAGGATTTGAAGTTCGTTGTTGGACCTTCTAAGGTTCTTGCTCGATATGAGAAACGGATTCGAAATAGAGGCATTCCCATGATCAAGATTCAATGGGAAGGATCGACACCTGAGGACACCACATGGGAGCAGGAGGATGATATTCTCCGGCGATATCCCGATTCTGATATCAGGTATGATCCGATTTTGAGGACAAAATCTTTTTAAAAGGTGTGGTGAATATAATAACCCTAATTACATGACTTTTAAATTAGAAGGTTATGATGAGGATCTTATGGTCATAAATAGAATGAGAATGCAATTCTAAGAATTTGGATACCCATATTGAGGGTTGATGGGACGAAAATTCGTTCCCATCTAAGCCCATTTTGATTGCAAAATGTCATCCGTTCCTTCACCTGATGAACAACTTTAGCACTAAAAGCACATATTTAATATCTTTTTGACAAAAACACAGTGGGGAACGGATGATGACGTAAGTCTTTGGAAAAATATATAAAAAGGGGAACAGATTTGGAACATTAAATACACCTGCTCCACTCATTTAATATTTCTGACCACTTTGCGGGAAACGTTGGAAAGAAGTTTCCATAAAGCATAAGTGGTGCAGCAATCAAGCAAGAGGAAATGTGCGCAGCAGAGAATAAACGGTTCTTATCAGGAGGAAAGACAAATCTCAACAATAATTGTCCCATTCAGCCACTTGCGCCCCTCAAAGCACTGTTCACACTGCCTCTTCCATGCAGTCAAGAAAACAACTCCAAGAGAATTACTCACTTTGCTCTTCACTCTTCTGCCTATAAATAGGACGTTCCAGCACGAAGAAACATATCGAATTCCTTAAGAAGAGATCACTTAGTTTATTTTATAGTTTTCTTTGTATTTTTGTATAGTTTTAACTTTAGTTAAGTGACAACACTTCTTCTTCATCATGGATCACCCACTTGAGACTCCTCACGAGCAACAACCATATTCTTCACTTTTCATTACTTGATTTGCATTTAAATACAAGTGTTATTTCTCTCCTTTCCATTCGTTATCTCTGAACTGGATCTCGGGTCTATGGGACTTCAGTTTGGAATAATTATGTTTAAACTAGTAGCCATTGGCTAAACTATCTGTGGAACGGAAAAACTGCAAAGTTCTTAAAGATTTATTTTCAAAACTTTTGTATTTAAGCTTTTGGATTTCTCTGGTTAAGTAAGCTATATTCATTGTGTATCAATGGAAATTGAATACATACTGAGAAAGGAACTTCCATAAGGAATGGATTTCAGACAGCTTAACCAGAGGGGGAAGGTAGTTTTGTGGAAGCAACATTGCTGGTTGCCTTAGGAATAAGGGGTCACCTCGTTCATTTTAAGGTCTTGTACCCAGTACCTGTTGGAGTCAAGGGAGCCATAGGAATATGGATATTGTGAGCCATCCAGTCCATAAGCTGAGGAATCAGACGTTGGCAGTAAAGAGACTGGAACAAAGACAAAAGTGTTACGTCTTGAGTAGAGAAAATAATTATTTAAGAAAGTTCCTTCTGTTAAAATTGTTTTACACCATTCATCCTGTTGTCTCTTAATTACTGTTATTACTATTGTTATTTTTTATGTTATTTATTCAATCTTGTATCTATAAATCTCCCATGAATATTTCTTTTCCTTCTCTCAACAAGAAGGGTATCATACATAATGAAGCGATGAACTGTTTGCTGTCAGATTGAACCTACTATCCTTGAGGAACGTTGTCAATATAGTAAGGAACGTTTGACCAGACAGGTCAATTACTAACTTTTCTTTTCATTTTCATTCTTTGTAAAATAGTATAAGACACTAATTAGAGTTCTATCCTCGTGGGAACGATAATCTGGGCATTAACACTCCCATTTATTACTTGATGTGTGCACTTGCGCACTTGAGTTGAAACTAAGAGAGCAACTGTGTTCTCTCTTAGTGAACTGAGGAACGTCTTCATCATAATATATTTTTTACCCAACTGCTTTTGACCCAACAAGTTTTTGGCGTTGTTGCTGGGGATAGATACACTAAATTTTGTCCTTATTACTGTTTTTAAGTACATACATACTCTGTATATTTCATTTTCATTTCTTATTTAATTTTTGTTACATATTTTGCTGATTGATACTATCTGTTTTATGGTTTATGAGTGAAGAGTCTGAAACAGATTCTCACTACTCCACTGAAATACCTGAGTTTTTCTTTGATCCTGAGCCAGAACTCACTTTACATAGAAGAAGAAGAAGAAATCTCAGGGAAAATATTTTTGAAAACATGGTTGATCATAACAATAACAATAAAGGAATCCCTCCTGAATAGAACTTTAGAACTTTGGCTGCTCCTTTCAGGAACAGACCAGAAAGGGGTGTAATCCTCCCTCCTGTAGCTCCCAATTTTGCATTAAAGCCCATCATGTTCCACATGATAAGGGAAGTTGGAGTCTTTCTTGGACTCCCTGTAGAAGATCCTTACACACACCTCACAAACTTTCAAGACATCTGTGATAACTTCAAAGCATAGAGTGTGACAGAGAAAAATATGAGAATGAGGCTATTCCCCCATTCTATAGGCTCAAAAGCAAAAACATGGATGAAAACTCTCACCCCTGGATCCATACACTCTTGGGAGGAACTTTCTAACAAGTTCATAGAAATGTTTCTCCCTATGTCTCGCCAAGCTGATGTTAGAGAAGAACTCTCTAACTTTAAAATGTTTTATGGACAAAATCTTTATGAAGCTTGGGAGAGATACAAGGACATCATCAGAAAATGTCCAAACCATGGGGTTGCGAGTTGGGGTGTTTTACATTATAAAGGCATAGATCATACTTCTCAATCACATTTAGACTTTGTCGTCGCATGAGGATATTTCTTTACAAGAACCCTTGAATCCAGGTATGAAATCATAGAAGGTACTGCAGAAAGATGTCTCCAATGGCCACTGGAACGGATGAGCCCAGTTAGGGCTGGCAATACGGGCTGGCCCGCCCCGGCCCGCCCAAAATGGGTCGGGCCAGCTCGCCCCGTTTTGATAAAATGGACTGAACTTAACAACCCGTCCCGTTTTATGAATGGGTTGGCGGGCTGCGGGCTAGCCCGTCCATAAAAAAAAAAAACTACTAAAATAAAAAAAAAGGAAAAAATCTGCATAAAAAACACATAAAAATTTGCATAAAAACACATAAAATTTAGGAATCAAAGCACCGTACAAATTCTGCTTAAAACTAATTCTACAAGCTAACCCAAAAAATTAAATAAAAATATTAATGCATGAAACCAATTTTCAAGTTTAGCTACAATACACACAAATGTCCATTCAAATTGGAAAAAAAATCACAAATTCAAAATGCTTGTTTAATTCATTGCATTGAAGAAGCTCCGACAAAACATGAACTGCCATCGTCATCATTCATCAATCTTCACATTTGAGGTACCTTCATCTATATAAATAATAATTGAAAAAATAATAATTAATTTTACAAACAAGTATGGTTCAATATAAAATGAATTCAAATTAAATAAATTACCAGTGCCGAAAAAACCATTTTTCCAATTACGGTTACAAAGCAAAGCTTCAACACATTCAGGTAAGAGACTACTTTTGTATTTATTAAGGATCTGTGACCCAATGCTGAATGCAGATTCAGATGCAACAGTGGTTATAGGAATGCTTAATAAGTCACGAGCCATTAGTGAAAGATTTGGAAGACGTTTAGCTTTCCCCTTCCACCATTGTAATATATCAAATGTATCATCATCAAACTCCAAATTCTCCTCTCCCAGATAAACATCAAGTTGAGATTTTCCACTCTTTGCTGCATTGAAGGGCTGATTGTGCTATTTCAATTCCTAACCATATTTGACAAGTTAAACACATAAAAATATAAGTCTTAAAAAAATACAATGTCAAGTAGATAAAATAATATTTCAAAATAAAATAAACTTACTTGGAGCATGATTTCTGAAAATCCCTTCTTCTCTTTTGATATTGACCCACTTGAAGATGCACTTATAACATCATTGAGACTTTGACTTTGAGCATTTGAAGAGGGAGGAATGTTGCATGCATAATTGTCAAAGAGATTGTATGCATTTTTCTTTTTTTCTTCTACTTTTGCTTCACTTGTTAATGGATTAATTTTGGAATAACAATAAGACAAAGCAGAAGTCTTCATCTGTGGGTCAAGAAGCGCTCCTAGTGCAAGCACAATACTATATTCCTCCCAATATTTGTCAAATTTTTCCATCATCCTTTCAGCCATGCTCTTTAAAATGTCATCATCATCATGTAATGTGTTCTGGAGACTACATTGAATTTTCCAAACTTGCAAAAAGTATAAGTTGGCAGTAGGATAGGATGTGCCAGAAATCAACTCAGTAATATCATAAAATGGCTTCAAGAACCCCATAATTTTTTCTCCTCTATCCTATTCATCAAGTGAAGGACAATATTTATAATTTCTATCATTGAATTCAAGAATAGAAAACACATGTTGGTATATGAGAGCACTTTCAAGCATCAGATAAGTTAATTCCATTTAGTAGGGACATCTAGGCATAAGCCTTTTGAAGTGTTAATTCATCCCACTTTTTCAATGCATTCTTTAAATGCTTTCATTCTGCTTTCCGAGCCCCTTAAATATTTGACACTTTCTCTAATTTTGTTCAAGGCATCACTAGAAACTTTCAACCCTTCTTGAGAAATTAGATTCAAAATGTGAGCAGAACAACGGACATGAAAAAATTGTCCATCACATAACAACAACTTCTGCAAACCAAGCTGACTTTTCAAATTTCTCACATATTGTCATTCGCAGATGCATTATCCAAAGTAATGGAAAATAACTTCTTCTCTATTCCCCAATCCTTCAATAAATCAATTTTTTTTTGACATAATTCAAAACCAGTGTGAGGAGGAGGCATATGACAAAAGTTAAGACTCTTGCTATTTAACTTCCAATTCCTATCAACGAAATGAGTTGTTAAACATATGTAACCCTCTGTATTACAAGTTGTCCACAAATCAGAAGTTAAGCAAATCCTAGTTGGAATGCTAGCCATTATATCTTTAAGGTTCTCCTTCTCTCTCAAGTAAATCTTTAAGACATCGCTCTTAGCAGTATTTCTTGTAATTGGAATTGCATCAGGATTTAAGTAACTTATCCACATCCTAATCCTTTCATACTCAACGAAATTGAAA